AATAGCCTTGTATTGAGGTGCTTCTTCTTGAAGCCTCCTTAGCAGTCTTACATCAGACAGGAGGCATTCAGCTGGGCCATATATATATAACTGTTATCTCTCGCTATTGAACATAGGTTTATGATCATGGGAAAATTAGGATGCTCAATAGAAATGGAAGGCACAGGAGGTCTTCTAGTTGTTATATTTGGGTTCTGATTACTCACTAAATCTGGGGAAAACAAACCAAACAGAACAGCAAACAACCCCAACCCCTGCCCTTGGCATCCTAAAGCTGCTGTCTACAAATGAAATTGCCTATAAAGAATAACTATGGGTTTCATTGGGCCTCCCCTCCCCCTGTCTTTATACACTACACTAGGGAATTCTGGTACATTTTCTAAAGTGAGTGTGAGCAGTTTAGGAACATATTTTGATTCATGAGTGCTCTGGAAGATAACCCTTTTTTCCTTCTTCAAATATAGTGCCCCTCACAAATTCAGCTTAGAGAGTGCATGCAGTTTATCTACTGTGAAATAAAAGGGCAGAAAGGTCACTTGCTATAATTAAAGAACAAAGTCTATTGTTGTCCGACACAGACTGTTTTGAAAGCTACAGAAGGGATTTGGCTGTTAAAAACGTTGGTAACTAAGGGTGGCTCCCAATCCACATCGATCCTGCTCCTTACTTTTCTATAGGCTTCCTTGGAGGGTGACTGAGCTTTTGAGGTGGGTGCACAGAAGATACCCTTTGCTGAAGGAAGTTTTCTGTGAGAACCCAAGGAGCTTGAAATATGTATGAGACCAGGTCTGCGATGGAATTAACTATCTGCTGGGGAGATTGAAACACACACACACACACACACACACACATACACACTCACCTGAGCAAGGTGGTGCTAAAGGAGATAAATAATGCTTAGCAACTTTTAATAACTTTGCAAATAGTCTGTTAAAAAAATGAAAGGGAAGGGATTAATTGCCTAAATGTCAAGAGGTTAAGAATACTCTTCAAGTGAAATTGCTTGGCTGCAAGATTGTTTTAATTAGAGTGTTATACAGACTTTTTTCCTAAGCAGCATTTTATAGTTAGGAAATGAAATGTATGCCGAAAGTGCTAAGCAGAACACTCCCTAACCACAGAGGTGTTCAATAACCAGATTCAAACAACATGGAAAATGCCATCTGCTCTTCGTTTGCAGCATGAAAAGCAGGGATTGAATAGCCAAGATTTGCTCCAATTTTGACTAGGTCTGTGTGTGTGTGTGTGTGTGTGGTTTTTTTTAATTCAAAAAAGTTCACCTGGTACTTCATAGAAACCCGAAATTGCGGTAATATGAGCAACCCTGTGAAAACACATGTTCCTACATTTATTTTAACCAGTTCCACTTTTATGTAAAAGATTTCCAGAAGCTCAGCTATTGAACACTTTCTATTGGTTATTCAGTTCCTGCAGGCAATCACAATCAGGGGTCAGTGGTTCAAAGATCTCACTATTTAGTCAGTACCTGACTTATTCTGTCAAATTTCCCCCTGGTAGCTCTTAGAGGCTCCCTCTGGTCAGTGGGTGTCAGTTAATCTAGTTGTGTGTGTGCGCCGGGGCCTTGGGCTGGTGCTTACTGGACAGAGACCTCGCTCTTGCTCAGAGCTGTAGTGGGAAGATTGTTGACAGCGAGGGAAATATTCTGTCAACAATAACTTCTGCGTCCTTGACTCTTAGATACTAAAATCGTGGTTCTGGGTTTAGTAAGCGCTCTGGGTAAAAAGCGCTCTGGAGGTCTTTTATTGAAGCTAATGACTGGGCTGGTGCCTCCCTGAGATAAATGACATTATCTCTGAGTGGGCTGACAGGAAACAGACATGTTAATGG